TGCCGTGGGAGGCGAATTGTGCCGATGTCAAGCGTGAGCGGTCAAATGCCGCGAGGCCAACACCCTTGCGCGACATGGCAACTAATATTGATAAAAGTGTATGTCTTTATTTGCTGTTAAGACTCGTGGCCTCGGGATGAGGCGTGAGAGTCAGTCCCCCAATGTATATGTAGGTTCCGTGGTGATTCTCAGTTTACACGGTTTCGTCTAACAAGTTAAAGTGGAAGTATATCATTCAATTAACTCGTATATGCCTAGGTACTTGTCCAATCCAATTGTATATGTTGTCGGTTGTATCGGAACTCGCTTCTTCCACTGGATGTATGAAAGAACCACGGATTGATAAGGAGCCTACCTAGTCTGGACCCTTCCTACCTCTGCCCCTCGTTCATTTGCTGTGACGTCGCCTCAAGTCCCACTTATCTATGAACGGCTCGGCATCTCTTCGGCAGAAAATGAACGGGTCCACAATCAAACCCCCACAGATAGGCTAAGGATAAGCCACATCCGTCAAGCCACATGCTGGCGAGACCCCAGGGATAACCGCCCACCAAAACGCACAAATCGCAACTCCACCACAACGACCACGAAAATTCCTGAAGTGAAGCTCGCTCCCTGCGTTTCCACATTCGACAAGTCCCAGTTTCGCCCTCAGCCCGCACATCACGACAACCTCGAGAAACCGCCAACATGGCTTCGGTTCAATCAGTTCGTACGTGGTCCTCGAAGTTAAATATCTATGAAAGTTATTTTCTTGCTAACACGCGCATTCGCAGAGTGCTTCGGCGTACGACCTCCCCTCCGTGTCCTGTGACCACTTCGAGCATGATGGCAGAGATGCTGACGATATTTGTGATATAGAAGAAGAAGTCTGCGACAGCAGTTGCGGTACGGCTGAAAAAGAACACTTCCACTTCACATGGCAGAAAACTGACAGAGAGATAGGCCTGCAAGTCCGGCTCCGGCCTGATCAAGGTTAACGGTACATTGGAACGAGATTCTTCTACGGATTAGCCAGGACACTAATCCTTTTGCGATTTCAGGAAAGCCCCTTAGCCTCGTTGAGCCCGCTGTCCTCCGCTTTAAGGTTTACGAGCCTCTTCTCGTTATCGGCCTCGACAAGTTTGCCAATGTCGATATCCGTGTGCGCGTGACCGGTGGTGGTCAGACTAGCCAGGTTTACGCCATCCGACAGGCCATCAGCAAGGTAAACCAATATTTGTCGAAATAACCTAGATGAGAGAGTATGAACTAAGCATAAAACCTAGGCCCTGATCGCCTACTACCAGAAATACGTCGATGAGCACAGCAAGAACCTGCTGAAGCAGGCCCTCGTCCAGTACGACCGTACCCTCCTAGTCGCCGATAACCGACGATGTGAACCCAAGAAATTCGGTGGTCCGGGTGCCCGTGCCCGGTACCAGAAGTCCTACCGTTAAAGCGGAAGCACCAAGCTACGTTTTACTTTTGCGGTGTGGTTCTGGAGGGGAAGGGGGTGGAGAAGAGCAGACCAGTCCTTTGGTACGGAGAAGCACAGCATGCGAGCGATGGATCATATCAATCGGTGCGGGGCTGGTTTGGCTTCCTTGTCTCTCCTGGTTCTTCGTGATCTCGGAGTGGTGGCGATGGTCGGACCAAGGGAGTTATAAAAGGAAATCCGGCAAGGCTATTGGTCCCAAATGCCTTTCCTATGATCATTGCATTTACATGGCAGGGAAATTCTGTCTGGCTGTAAAGGGATTAGGCGAATGAAACGACACAAATTCTGAACAGAAACTCCGATCTAGGCCCCAGTGAAGAATGCTCTTGTACACCATGCGATGTGCAACCTGAATTTGAACCGGTCATGCGATCGTAGAGCTGTTTTACAAAGACACGGCGTCAAAATCGCTCAAAATATTCAGCTAATCAAATGGCCTACTGACCCTACCAACCTGTCACTACCGCAGCACACGGGTGAGACGGACAGTTAACTCGTCAAGGGTTTTTATTCGATTACAACCGAAGCCGGTTTGATCGACTCAACTTATCACAGATATCATTATCGGCCCAAAGTTCACTGCTCACCGGTAAGTCACGCAAGTGGAGGGATCGGACTAATCTGTCCCTCGAACAAACGCAAAAATGACACTGGCTTTTTCTTCTCCCTCTCCTTCCTTGTCTTGAAATCTAACTAACCAGCTCGTCAATATCAACACCAAGCCGTAGTTTACGTCCTCTTGGTCTCCATCTCCGTTTCGTCCCCGTCTTCATCCTCATTTGTCTCTCACCATCCAAGTTTAACATAATGTAATTTAATGAACTCCACCAGCTCATGGTCGTTCAATTATCCACTCAGCAACTGAGAGGATATAAACTCCTGGTTGTATATTCATTCAGATATCCGTGGCGAGCACGGACTTCCGCAGTAGTTATGCTCCCTAGTCGGAGCGTCAGCCCGGCCCGGCGAACAATGACCATGATATGCGAGCATGATCTGCAGTGAGGAAAATGCCGACGGGACACATCCTCAGCGGCCAACGTTCCCCTTGAGCCGCTCCTGCGATGGCCCTCAAGCTTCTCTTTAAATAGGACCATTTATTTTATGTATGAACTAAGACATTATCATGATGTACTAGCTTTTCCAGTAGAAGCTCATCGACAGTGTTTCCTTCGAGGTTTGTTGTATATTAGGTAGTCTAGAACCTACATACCGTTGTCCCTATGGCCGCTCCCTGGACGATGCGTGCGAGGTAACGAGTCGAAATAGTTGCGCTCAGTTAAAGAGTCGATCGCTAAGAAATCAGATCATCAATACGGCTATAAAACGATACATGTCCCGTCGAAACGATTTACTAGGTGATTCATTCAGTAGTCAACTCTTGAATGACTGTGATACGAACGAGATAATCCAGTCAGAACATACTCTTATTCATAGGTTGTATGGGAGATGTACTCGTGATGAGTCTTGTCAACTTTCAACCCTTTAGCCCTTTTTCAAGGGAGGATTCGTCTCGATATCATTGGGACTCGTATTATTCATACGAGGGTTACGACCTTCTTCCGAGGCCTCCGAAAGGGCTGTATATAAGAGTCTAGAGTCTATGTCTCCGATGTCTGGATCCGCAGGATCCGTAGGATGACTTTCCCCTGAGGAATAGATAGGATACGCGTCTAAGTGGCTAGGTGGTACGAACAAAAGATCGGTTTGGCGTATTTTGTCCAGATAATCACGGTGATAGGTGAATAGATACTCTTGTCAACTTATCTGGTAACAAGATACGTTTCCTGTCTGCATAAATTCCCAGCAACAAATTTCAAAGGTGTTCTAGGGTCTTCAACCTTCAGGTCATCAAAGTAAAAATTCACTCAAGCTTTGTCCCTCCCAAACGAAAGATCAATGTTCTTCATGCCTCCTGCGATCTCTCTTCTTCCCCTTTCCCTCGAATTTCGCCAATGCCGTCGAAAGCCCCCTCCCCAAATCCTCACAGCGCCGTCATCATCGATTGAGTTTGGAACAGTTCTTCCTAATATGGCTTATATTTCCTGCATGTATGCCAGGAATATAGCCCAGCGATCGGCTGTGAACTTGTTGGTTCATCCACACATGATACCAGAGCGAACAATAACACGCTCTTCCGATTTTCTTGCAAGAAAAGCAGCGAGTATTTCCGAAACCAGAGTTCAGGGTTTCCACGCCTTGTTCCTATCGAATGGAGCAAGAAAACAGGTAAGACAAGACCACACTCCCTATATATCCTCCCGCAACACACTACTCAGCCTTTCTATATATAGGAGCTGCGTTTCACCCCCCTTTTCTCCCATATTCCTCCTGTTGGTATGATATTTTATTATTGGTGGTTCAAGGCTAAGAATCGAGAATGGCTTTCCCGTAAAAGTCCGAAAATCGACAAAAACAGAACAAATAAAGCGTACAACACCAGGGATTTCTCTTGTCATCACTGAAGATAGTTCACAACTCCATTTGTACGTGGCTTAACAAGACGTCTCATTGCAGTAGGCGTACCTCTGATGCGTTGGTATCCTCGCGAACCTCGTTTTCGAGAATCTTCTAATTTGGCTCATCATGTCCTCGCAATTGGACGGCTAACTCGAGGACGTTTATCCATTTCATACCCCATGCGACGTATTGCCCAAACCACAGATACCACTGCTGAAGAACTGGCTATCACATCCAGAGGAGGTCTTAGAATGAATGCCACTTGGCTGGGCCCCAGCACAAGAAGGAGATATTTTATGTTGGTACGAAGCAGATAATGAAAGTAGTACGGCTGAATCATGTTCGGGGCAGTTACGTACAACCACATGTCCAATGATCTTGTGCTAGCAGCTTGTTCTGTCTCCCTGCATTTCCTATAACGCGTTCCATATGGTTATATGCTATATCTGGTGAGACTGGATAATCTTCAAGGAAGTAATGACCTGTTCTACCTAAACATTTTGGTCTAAGCTAGACGAGAAAGCAGCGGCGCCTTACCCGCCTTGCCGGCCACAGGATTGGGACGTCATCCACCCCAGAGGAACATAACTCTACCAGACGATTGGTTCTCCCCAGTATATGGTCTTGTAACAAGTATCTATGTCTTCGTCACACTAGGTATACTCGTAGATAGATTGTACTGGGAACCGGATATGGACCAGAAGCGCTGGGGATACAACAGATGCAGAGAATTAAATGTTGCGAGATACAATCCTCGAGCAGATTTTCTCCCATGAAAATAAGCGATGCTATACGCTACCACACATTGAAGTTGTTTGATCGACTCATTCTTGGTCTAACTCTGAAATCCACGACATCTGAGAAAACCTAGCAAGCAAACTACTGCTACATCAACAACGACCAACAAAGCTATCACGCCCAGATACACTCATGTTACCTACCACCGCGTGTTTTATGTATGTGTTGTGAGCTCTCAATACCTGTGGTTGAGTTATGCATTCTAACGTGGTGTACTTGACGTGACACGAAGATTGAGAATCCCATCATCAGTTGTTGCATATCTTGATTGGTCTAGTGGTTAGGATACCTGCTTGTCATTCGAAACGAAGCAAACCGCAGGTGGCCGGGGTTCGATTCCCCGATCGAGAGCACTTTCTTTTGCTCCCTCCGGATATCCTTTTTGTCTGGTACCTCATCATATCCTGAATACATGGAAGAGCTTCTTTCTGGTAGTCGCTGACAGTGGCCCAATGTAATGTTGTACTGTTGAACCGATCTTCTAAGTTACACAGGTTCTCGATCATACACCTCGACGCTCATGACTCACTCAGCCTTGCGGGTGTTGATGGCAGAGTTAAAGAAAAAGATCGAGACTTTCGGACATGAATCGCTAACGCCTAAGCAATGCGGATCTGTACGGCACTCTCCGGGACCCAATTAAAGTTTTGTTGCGTAAGAACTCACGACATGGACAATTGTAGGGTTCATGAGACTTGTTATGACTCTCAGTCGGACGTTGGTACGTACCATGATGTACCGTGAAACGGTCTAGAAGGTTATCAAGGTAGCAGCCACAATTTACCTCTCAGAGAAGGCTCAGGAGCTTTCTTATGTGACTAGACACGGTAGATAAGGACAAAGGATAGGACCTGGGCAACGACGCGTGTTTGAGCTCAGACTCCAGGCACCCGGAAGTCTTGTAGCCCGTTTGGATAGTAAGCCTTCCATGAAGTATGGCTCGTGACTATTCTTATTGGCTCAAATTATAATAGACAGGGCTCGGCGCGGCTTGGGCAGGTTTCTCAAACTTACTATCACAAGAGTATATCAGAAATATTCGGCTAAGGACCTTGTAGAGCCCCATGCTTTATAGTTTGCTCGTGAAAACCGTAAGCCCATTCTCACCCTACCCAGCATCACGAGCGATCCACGTTAGAGCTATCTAAGGTACATGTACAGATATTTTTAGACTTTGTGGTATAAGGAAAATCAAATATCGCTTGCCAAGGTTGTTGTTACTACATAATGATCCGCTGGTGGCAATATGCCTGCTTCCATTCTTCAAATGGAAGTAAAGGCTGACCATGGACTGCTAATGAGAATATTCATACCGGTGACTCAAAATCAGACCAAAACTTTAATAAAGCTGTGAACCGGTCAAACTTGTAGTATTCCAGCCTCTTAGCCAGCAGTAAACGAATGGCGCGTCAACTTGGCCGCTTCCGACACCGCTACCTTTCTCGAATTTTATTTATTTATAATTCAGTATCATGTGTCAGAAGGAAATACATTCAGTACTATACACTCCACGTACACTTCATCATTGATGCGTACATTTAACTGGTGAGCTGTTTCAAAGGTATGGATCGGGGGCGTAAGCAAGGGAGCCGTATGCTGTATAACAGGTTTTTTCAACTATTAGCCAAGCCTTTTTTTTTCTCAGCTCCAGTATCCCGCGCATAAACACCCAGTTTCCCATAAAAGGAAACCCTCGCGAATTCCGCATAATCTCGTCCAGTCTTTAGAAAACTGATATACACAGATATTATGATATGTGCAGTTGCATTGGAAGAACATGTTTGATCGTCTCCTACATTGCTTTTTAGGGCCGTGTGTTGATTTCAGGTTTAGAAAAATTTCCGGTGGCTTTTCTTTTTTGAATGGACCGAGATAAAGCCACCAGCCATCCCGCGCCCTCTCATCAGCAACAAGCCACCCTGTAGGAAGCATAGGTACCTATCTTCTAGCCAAGAGGGCAAATGCACGGGCGCTCTGTAATTTCAATCAGTACAAAGAGAAAAATTGCTTGGGCGGTATGGTATGCAAGCCACTCTGCTTCAGACGAGAACGTTTAAATCCCGGCGATCCGGTGATTGGTTCATTCCTTCGTTCTTTCGCAGCAGAGACAAATCCAGTACTCAAAAGTTTCTTCGCTCACGGACCTCTTCATACGGCTGATGCGTAGCGGGCGTCCAAGGTGGCTTATAATCTTGATGGTAAGGCGGTAATATATGGCATGTTATACAAAGCGCAAGTGCTTTGTGAAACATTGCCTCACAGTTCAACTAGCGACCCAATTGATGTCACGATGTGCAACGGGATCTAGTGTAAGCATGTTATTAGTGAGTGACAAGCGACAACTCGTCTCATCTGAACCAGAGACTTGTGCTAAAGGGGCCAGATGAGATCGCTGCTGCTTCGTACCCTAGACTAATTTCGTAGCTCTACAGTAGTGTACCGGAAAGAAAAAAAACCCAACAGACATCGCTAGTGTGTTTCTATGCTGTACAACCCCCCCGGTAGTGACCTTTTTGGCGTTCACGGCAACCCATCCGAATTGCACTAGGAACTATCCAGGTTTCTTGAACCACGGAATGCATCGACATGTTTCCAAATCAACTACCCAAGACTGTTCCGCTCTCCCTTCACTCGTTTTCTTTCTAGCTCAGATAATCAGGCCCACATGTCTGACGCATTGATGATCGAAAGAAGAACAACCCGCATATTAAGAGAGGAGAGATAGGTAGGTAGGTACAGACCGTCATTGAACCCTAATATGGGCGTGGTGATATATAATACTTACACTATCGGAGCAATAGGCTTAGACGTGGGGTTATATGTCATAGTGATTGCTAGCCCAAAGAAACCGATGACTGACCTTCCCGCTTTGAACAACTAGGCAAAAGCAAAGCAAGAATTGATTCTGCATTCAAGGTACTTCCCTCATCTGCAAGTAGCTCGGACGTGCCGAAGCCGCAATGAGAAGGGGGAAAAGGAGCAAGAGAAGAAGGGCACGTACGGCACCTACCATGGTTTTGAGATGCGGATCGTGGGTCGCCGGACGCTTGACCCCGAGTGAACAATATCTCATTTCCCCTAGGGGCGAACACCGACGATTTGTTACCTCGAATGAGAAAGATACAACCCTTCCCGCGCAATCTTTAAACCCCACCCCACTGCATATGTGAGGGCTTCGGGGAAATTGCCCAATATCGTAAAACTTTTTGCGCTCACGTTGCTGACTTCTTCCACACTCGAAGTAAAAGACAAAAAGGGAATCTCTCCCTTAAATCGGGGATGGCGGGTGCATTTCAATGACAGCGCTATCGTTGACGTCCATGGCGGTAGCGGTAGTAGCTGAGGGCGTTTCTTTTTCCATGGGATTTGTTTCATACCCACCAACCGGGCTTCCTGTGGTACATACACGTGTTAAGAGCACCAGTGCTAGAACTAATAAGGACAGGTAGATACAGTAGCCAGGTACAGACTCGTACACACCAATATGAGAGCATTGGTTCTGAAAGAAGGGCTGGACATCTGTCTGCTTCTAGTGTGAAGAGAGAGAAGGATGAAAAGTGATAGTGGTTGTCGTGCATGATCGCCACTGCATCGCTTGGCGGAAAGCAGGGATTATTTGTAGATCCAGACGAGTGGTCACCCCCTGTGTGGTGATGTTCCCATGGATCTCTAAAGATTTGGATGGGGATCACATTTATCACCCGAATAGCCTTTTCTGTAACCTCATGCCCGGAGCATGGGAGACAGCTAGGGTTCTGGCGTAGGACTATCTCGAAAAGATGCAATCACCTGGCCGAATCTGTACTAAGGCGGCATTATTCTGACACTTGACGCTCCATTTCTCCCCAGAATTTCACCATGAGGTATCGCGAAGAAGACCAAAGAATGGGTTGTATGGTTGCTTGTGAGGTGAGTGCACGGGTAAGTAGCGAGTGCTAGCTGAACGTGGTATGGAGTCTTCTGTAATTCCTTGATTCGTCCGATGACAGCTTGGCAATCTGTGGATCTGCTAGCAAAAGCTATGTCAGGTGACGTCTCTATAGCGAATACGGTGGTCTGTGGCAGTGTTGTTATGAATGACACGACTCGTGGCTGCTTGTGCCTTTAGTAGGTAGGTAGCTAGTAGACTCGATAATCAGACAAACTAACCATCTTTGACAGAAAACGGGGAAAAGGCTCTCTAAAATATGGGGTCACCTAGTCTTGGGCTTAGACAATATTGGTGCGTTGAGGCCCGGCGAGGCATTCGCTAGACATGAGTCGGTGTCATCGTGCCGAAACTGCTAAGAAATGATATGTATAGAGACCTTCTGCACCACAGGCCAAATGGTATAGTGGGTCTGAGTTGTACGCAATGCAAGGCCAACGATAAGCATCTTTGAGTGGCTGATTTGACGTGCCTGTGTTGAATAGTAACATAACCTCGACACCATATTTTCTTGCTCAAGGAGGGATGCCTGAGGGACGAGTATCTAATTGATGTGTGCTAATATATCAGAAGTGGCCTAGGCATAATGCTAGAGTTTTTCTCCCTGGCAAATTGAAATGTAAATGGATTCGTGAAGATCCTTTGCCTTATATCTATACTAGATATGTGAGAGATAAAAGAGGATTTCAATACGGCATAGAGTTACTAGTTGTTTGCATACCATTGTTCAGTAGAGTTTGCAAAGTCTAACTGGTGACAGAAAAGGATAACAGGTTCTAGCTTGCGTATTGCAAAGATTTGTCTCGATTCTTCGTATCAATTTACATGTCTTAATACGCCTTGTAGTATGGTGCATTTTTGTTAAATGAGATTAAATCCGTCCTCCTCGCAGCAATGATGCTTTTGACGATATTGGACGGATGCACCCACTAGAGTTCACCGCTGTATTGGTATTAAACTTGTAAATATAGTCACTCCGGACTCACATACTTACTTAGGCGTTCATGGGCAGATAACCACGTTTGATGTTGCACTGAATTTTGCACCTGCATGCCTGAAGTACCGAGACTCGAAAAGCATTCATGCAACCCGTCCGATTTGGTATAGAACTACGATCTGCCAGGCACTGGCAGGTATTATGCACGGTCCTACTTTCAATGCTGTAACCATATCCAAAGAAGGAAAAACTCGGCATGCTTAATGGTATTCTTTAGTACTAATCACAATGACAAGAGCACAGTTGTTGGCACGCATCTAAGAGATCTCCCGGGCCGGATCGCAGTTTTTGGACGACTCCTCGGTTTCGCAGTGATGATGATGGCCAGCGATTGTCATGTGACCATTGACAGGCATGTAAGCATATCGTGGCGGTATGTCTACTGAGAGGAGAACCTTGTCTGACCGGTGACAAGGTGCACCTGTC